CTGTTAATGTACAATCTATTTGACCCAGAGCTGTACAGTGTGTAAGTATGTAATAGCTAGAAATTGCTAATTAATCAAATTAATAATTGGTTTGCAGTTCTGGAAATTCATGCTGCGCATTGCCAGATGATCCCTTTGACACATTTTCTATCACACCTGCGTCCAAATCAGTTAATTCAAAATAACTTATTTTTGTCCTTAGTAAATCATTTGCCCTACTTAGCAATTGACTAGCTTCCTTCTATTATTTGTATTAACCCATTGATTACCAAATTCATCCATTCCCATAGGCTTTACACACAAACCATGTGGTTCCTGTAGGCAAGGGGTTATTATAGTGCAAAGATAAAGTACATCAGTGAAAAACAAATATTATTTTGTTTATGTGAGCTTCATTTAGATTTGCCATAAACATTGGTATTTTATGGCAGTTTTTATTGTTTTTTGTTTTTTTACCAAAGCCCTTTCCTTTGTATTTTTGTTGAGCTCATTTGAAGCTTTTTAGAGCCAAAATCACACTCAATATTTCAGTGATTTTTTTAAATCAAAGGTTTGTAAAGCATAACTACAATACTGATCATTTCACAAATGATTGTATTCCACATATTGTCATTCATAATGTTAATTTGTAGGCCTGCATGTCTCTTTCTATATTCAATATTTATGCAGTGCTTTTCACAAGATATATGAAGAAAATCCAATTCTCTTTAGGTTTCAACCTATTTTCCCCCTTCTTCTCAAGAATAAATATGTTAGTGCTACTACTGTGTACATGTAAACAATATTATGTATTCTTCATAGATTTATAAAGAATATTTTAAGATACAGTGTAGCTTTTTTAAATTTTATGATTGGGTAGATTCCTGTCAACCCTAGCTATTTTGTCTACCCATCTAAAAGGTGTTAAATCCTTGTACATGCTACAGTGTGTAGATTGTCCAAACGTATTTGGATGAAAATTTAGAATGTGATTGGAATATAAATAAACAAAGGCTTGCATAAATATTTTGTTCATGTACACATATAATTCATGTACATGAATACTCTTTTTCTCCTTAAAGTAGTGTATGAGAGATATGGACTTTTATCAAATTAGGATTGGCATACAGAGGAAAATGCTTGATACTGTTCGGATGAAGAACTCAATTCAATTAGGATGCAGAAAATTGGCATCTGCTATTGCCTGGTTGTGACCCGTCTGGGTAACTAACCAACAACCCTCGTAAACAAAGTTTGCTTGAAATCTGACCTCCCTAGTGACTGAAAGAACTAATTCACCAAAAAAATTTCATTCATAAAAATTCTTTCATTTATTTTTTCATTTTTAAGTTTTTGTTAGGGGGGGTTGGATTGTAAAAGCTAGCCTATTCTAATTCAGCTTACTTTTATTTTATACATTTATTCTAATGTCTAATCTAATCTTATTGTAAATTAAGTGTGTGTGTGTGTGTGTAGTTGTATTATTTTAATATTCTCTCATATTTGCCATTTTGTGTCAAAAATTTATGGAGTGGTAATGGTCTCCGAAACTGTACTTTCCTGTACTGGTATATTATCACTTACAATTGAATTCTGTAGAGAGTGATTCAATGTGAAAATGTGAAAAAAAATTGTCAATAAAATAGCGTCATTAAAGGGATCTGGTAACTTTGTCTTAGGTCCTTAAAAAAATCCTTGATTGAGCTCATGCTGCAATGATGATTATAAACCTTTAGGCCAGTCAGGAACCCATGACTTTTACAAGCCGATCGCCTGTCTGATTATCAAGATATAACATTTATGATTGAAAATTGAAATCGAATTTTGCGTTTGCCAAACGGTTTTCATAACACTACAGTCTATTGGGGAAAACAAGTATGGTAAAACTGCTCACTCAAAGGTTTTTACTTTTTTGAGGCACTTCTTGATCATTTTGAAGTGCAATTTCTTTAGGGCTTCAATATTACACCATATTACAGACACTGATAACATGTAGGGCAGTGCTTCTCAGCTTTAACATTGTTAAACGATCCCTTTAAGATACAAGAGGGCTGAGAGGGTTTGCCTTTGTCCCACTGGTTGAGAAGTGCTGCTTTAGGCTGCGTTCATGCTTAAATTTTGAAGGCAGAATGAGCGATCTGAAACGCTCATCGTAAACGCTCATCGTGATCGCAGTTCCACGATGTACTGTTCATGCTTACTTCTCTGGCTCCCCCAGGCAATTCTCCGTGTGTGGCCTTAATTGGTCTTCCAGCTGGATTCGCAAACCTTCACTGTGCATGCTACGTAGACCCACTAGAGGTCAGTGCGTTGACCCCATTTAAACGCGTTTACAAATTGTAAACGCATCTTTTTGTGAGTTTACGATCGGCGATCGTGATCGCAGTTTTTCGGTGATTCTATAAAAGTGAGCATGAACGCAATCGTGTTTTAAACTAAACGCGTAACAGATGCCTGATTCTGGCCGTCAAAATCAAGCATGAACGCGCCCTTAGAAGACATAGGGTGGTATTCCGGTAGCGCGTACCTAGTTAGTTCACACTTTTATGGAGTGCCTGTTGCAAACTAATTTACCCTGTAAAGATTATTTTACTCCTTCAATGTAAAGTGTCCAAAAAATTAATTTTGCAATGAAATGGGAAGAAAAAGATAATATGAGTACGAACTGAATTTCAACAGTCTTTGGTAGATTACCTTTATCACGAATATTGAAGGAGGAAGATGAAACCTAGCATTCAATAGAAGTGTGAACTAAAATTCTTGTTTAGTCTGGACTTAGTCCCGGCTTAACTTATAAGAATACCACCAATAAAGTCTTACTTACTAAACATGACATTCAAATGATAAAGCTTTATTATAAAGACTTATAAAAAGGGGAAAATATTGCTTTATCAGGGCCTATGTGGAGGGTATACTCCAAAGTTTGTTTATATGCCTGGATATTTACATGTGCACTAACTGCATGGTCTATACTCCACTATCTCTTTCCCCTTTGAACAGACAGAATGTTATTATGATATTTGACCTTGTAATATCTCTTTACAGAAGTAGTATTCAAAGATAATTAATTGGTATACTAGTATAGAACCCTAAATGTTCACAGCACATAGATCTTTATTGATTGGCCTCCTTATATAAACAAATATAGTATTATAGAGGGTAAAAACTTCTCATGTGCATGTAGGCGTACATCTATGATATTAGCAACATGAATTGAATTGCCATGCACCATTAGCTCGTTCGATAGTTCTATCGCAGTAGTGAGATATATTGACAAAAAGATATTTATAACAGTGGGAAGGGCATGCTTCTCTAATTAATCACTCGTGCAAACGGTACTTGTTTCTTGTAAATGTTTCCTTTTGAAAAAGAATAATTGTTACCAACTGAAAGCCTTTATTAATTATATTTTTGTGTAGGTGGTTAGGTTTTTATGATGTCATTAAAGATATCATGACGTCCCTTCCAGGTGCCTGTGGGTGTGCTAATATGTGAAAAGATAAATAACTTCTTGTTTTTTGTATTTTTTTTTCTTTCTATATCTGTGGGGTCTTGTCAGACCCACGCACAGAAAGCCATTCAACCCTGGCCAACCTGGTTAGTCTGAAATTTAAGTCCCTTTATTGTGATGGTGCTACATACCGGTATATGTATTAGCAATACATATTTATATTTGTTTAATTTCTGACCAGTCACATTGTAAATGGTTGGGAAATGGTGTTTAGTAGTATTTATAGTTTCTTTTGAAACCCAGCCTCATGGCAGACCACATTTATTTTTGATAACAAAATGAAAGTGACCAATGATTTTTCTTTAAAGAATCAGAATAAGGGTATAATGATTGATCTAGGTCGTCTAAACAAATGTTGGAGAGAAGGTGTTTGTACGAATGTATGGATAGACAGACTAGAATCATAGAATCAAATACCTGTATGACGTCCAAGCCTACATATTTTCATCACCCACCTGAGTGACTCAGGCTGCGTTCATGCTTAAATTTTGAAGGCAGAATGAGCGATCTGAAACGCTCATCGTAAACGCTCATCGTGATCGCAGTTCCACGATGTAGTGTTCATGCTTACTTCTCCAGGCAATTCTCCTTGGGTGGCCTTCAGCTGGATTCGTAAACCTGTGTGCGCATGCTACGTAGACCCACTAGAGGTCAGTGCGTTGACCCCATTTAAACGCGTTTACAAATTGTAAACGCATCTTTTTGTGAGTTTACGATCGGTGATCGTGATCGCCGTTTTTCGGTGATTCTACAAAAGTGAGCATGAACGCAAGCGTGTTTTAAACTAAACGCGTAACAGATGCCTGATTCTGGCCGTCAAAATCAAGCATGAACGCGCCCTAAGTCTACATGAGAGAGAGAGAAAGAGAGAGAGAGAGAGAGACAGACAGACAGAGAGAGTGAGAGGGAGGGAGAGAGAGAGAGAGTGAGAGGGAGGGAGAGAGAAAAAAGAAAGAAAGATAGAGTGTATCAATGAAAATTTGTCACCCACTTATGTGAATTTAAGGTCAGCCTGACTTAAGAGTACAAGAGAGAGAGAGAGAGAGAGAGAGAGAGAGAGAGGGGGGGGGGAAGAGAGAAAGACAGAGGCAGAGGAAGAGAGGCAGTGAGGATAGGTTTTGATTAATGAGAGAGATGGGGAAGAGATAGAGAGGAAGAGTAAGAAAGGAGAAATAAATATAGATCTTATACAGAGTGACATACAATGAGGCAGGTAGATTGACTGAGAGACAGAGAGAGAGAGAGAGAGAGAGAGAGAGAGGGACAGACTAAATGGAGCTGTACCTTGAACTCTCGAGTGCAGTCAGTAATACAGCAGTGGCTGAGAGTGTTTACAGAGACTATATTTATCAGCAGCATATCGTGAGGTTCAAATTCTGAATGAGCTCCGCCCATTATTTCGTCAGGCAGCTGCTGTACATAGAGGATTGTATCTTTTTTTCTTCTCTTTCTGGCATTCACCATCAGGTACCTACCGCTTGTAGTAGTGTGTTCCGATTTGACCAGGATCGACTGTCGGAGTGGCAAGCCAACCTGTTTGCATAGATTGGTATACATAACATTGTAGAGGTAGTGCAATCAAACAGCTACCGAACCTGAGAAATTGTTATTGATATTTTGTGATTTGATCAGGGGGAAAAGTTCATCTGAGATTTTCATTGTTGGTTTTTCGTCTGGTTCTTGAAAGTGAGTACTTGTGGAATATTTATTTGTAAATGCTTAAGTGTGTATGTTTTTGTTTCTGCTAGCCCTAAGGAATGATTAATAATATTCATAATAATGATAATAATATTTGACATTTATGTGGCACTTGATACAAATGTTTCTGTAAGTGGTGTACCATTATTATCCCAGCGTTACTTGAGTAGTAACATGAACCCTGATAAGATACACTACTATAGCACCCAAGGAATTTATTCCTACCTGGTACCAATTTAGATCACCTGGGTGGAGAGTGGCAAGTCCAGTGTCGGTTAACGTCTTGCCAAAGGATGTTAGTGCCATGGTAGGGATTTGAACCCTGTACCTTGTGGTCAATGGTCCAGAGATGTATCCAATAGACCACAACACCTTTACAAATAGACGGAGGAGCCTGATTTTGAGATGCAGCTTCATTTTAAAGTCTCGGTTCTGATTCTTTAATTGCAATAGGCCTGTATATATATTCCATTCATCTCTTTCCAAGAATAATTTACAGGGAGATTGGTTTTCTGGTCAACTTATTGAGACTGCAAATGCTCTAAATTGGAGATTTATTGGAGGACTCTTCACCACTAAATGCTATAAGCATCAAAGTGCTTGCCTCTACTATTGCCTTCTATTCAGAGTTGCATTTGATCATTTCCTCTTTGAATGCCTGCATGAATTAATGCAGGTAAGAATCATCCCAAGTTGGCTTGTTGTACTTACATGTTCAATTGAGAGCCTGCTAAATTAAAACTGTAATTTGCTTTATCAGTGCACTATATATATAGGCATGTAATGGAGAGAGCATTTTGATTTGTTTAAATAGAAGAATGATTATAGGATACACATTGAAGGAAAGAAAATGAAAAGAAACATTACAAATATATTCACTATACCATGACCTACATGAAGACCAAGATCTGTTCAAGAGCTGCATATTATGTAACAATTAAATTACTTCCAATTGGAAAGTGGGGCAATTATTTTAGGTTAATTGATTGCTCTTCAAATTAATACTCAAGGACAATGGCATACCGGTACTTAAAGGTCAACAGCAGTGAATTAAATATCATTCACCTTAAATTTGATTAGGTATGTATGCATGTACAGTATGTGCCGGCATAGCTATTTTTAAATAACACAATTTCTTCCCCCTTGAACTTCTTTTTCCTTATCAAAATCTGTAATAAAAAACCTGTATAAATGAAGATCACCTGCTTCTAAAGACCACTTTTCTTGTCTCCCTGAAGTGGTCCTTATACACAGGTTTCAGTATGTACTCTGTAAAGACTAGTTGTCTTTATAAAAAGGTTCAGCTGCGCCTATGTGCCTATACATGTATGCAGTACATGTATTTGCCTGTACTCCTGAAAACGATACTAAATTACATGAATTGCTGTGTGCATGTACTCTACTACTATGACAAAGTATGAAATCATGATATATATTTATCTCAACCACCTTGCATTCCCCATCATCATAATTGCATGCTTGCATGTCATCTTCGGTGACACACCACCATCTGGTAAATTCTCGCTGGGAACCGGCCGGCCACGAGACCATGACGGAGAGAAATTACCATCAAGACGGTAGATCGGACAGCGCTCTGTCGTCTTTTACCATGTGCGGTTACCATTGATTAATATTGCAGTGAGCCGAGACGATGATTGGGAAGGGAATATTGTCTTTCCAGATGTCCTGAGAAAAGAAAGTGGAAGAGAGAAATTGGCAAGAGAAATGTTTTTTTTTAAGAGATGTATGTTCTTTTGACAGAGGTGGAAAGAAAATGGACACATCTGCTTGTGCGTTTGGTGGCTCAGAAGTTACAAGATGTTCACAACTCTGGAGACATCGATCAAACCAAGAGAGTTGATCATGGTGGTTAGAGATGTCAATCTTCAAGAAATAGAGAGAGAAGGGTGTTAACCTCCAACTGGTATCACTGAGCAGTCTAACTTCAAAGCTCAAGTTAAAGTGGAGGTGTTGTGTCTCAATCGAAGGAATGAGGGTTTGAATCAGTGGCGTACCTGGGGTACTCCGTCAGGGGGGGCAAGCGACCGAAACAAACAAAAAAGGCGATGCTAATTTTCACTTCTGGCGAGCGAGCGAGCAAAAAAAAATCTTTAAGTAACGTTTGGTATATAAACTGGTATTGTTGCAAGTTGGGGTGGGAACATTTACTTGTTAGCGACGTTAATTTCATTTTTTTGCAAACGAGCGTAGCGAGCAAGAAAAAAATCACTCCTTTTTTAATAATTGCCACTTAAACTTGGTTCAATTGTCCCATGCAGGGTGCGGGAACAATATTGTGTTTAGGGTGATTTCATACCCATTTTAGCTAGCGAGCCTAAATACATCTTTCTCTCAATGAATTGCTATATAAAATTTGTTTCATTGTTGCAGGTCGGGGGCGGGCACAATCGTGTTTAAGGCAATGTCAATCCCATTTTGGCGGGCAGGCAACCCCCTACATTTCTCTTTTTAATGATATTGTAGCAGGTTAGTGGTGGGCACATAATTCCACGAGCTAGCGAGCGAGCGAAAAAAATCACTTCTCGTTTATAGGGAAAATATGGTACATAAAACTTAGGTTCATTGTTCCATGTCAGGGACGTGATTATTAAAAGCGGTGTTATTTCTATTTTGGCGAGCGAGCGTAGCGAGCGAGCAAAAAATTCACTTCTCTTTTGTAGGGAAATTATGGTACATAAACTTGGGTTCATTGTTCCATGTCAGGGACATGATTATTAAAATCGGTGTTATTTCTATTTTGGCGAGCGAGCAAAAAAATCACTTCTCTTTTATAGGGAAAATATGGTACATAAACTTGGGATCATTGTTCCATGTCAGGGACGTGATTATTAAAAGCGGTGTTATTTCTATTTTGGCGAGCGAGCGTAGCGAGCGAGCAAAAAATTCACTTCTCTTTTATAGGGAAAATATGGTACATAAACTTTGGTTCATTGTTCCATGTCACGGACGTGATTATTAAAAGCGGTGTTATTTCTGTTTTGGCGAGCGAGCGTAGCGAGCGAGCAAAATTTTTGTAATGATAATTGGTTCATAAATTTCAGATTTTTTTTGTTGCAGGGCAGGGCTTACACAATCATGTCTAAGGTGATGTTAATTCCGTTTTGGCGAGCACGAGCACACCAAAACTTCTTTGAATAACGTTTGGTACATAATTATTAACTGGTTGTTGCAGGTTGGGGTGGGCACGTTAGCGGTGTCAATTCCATTTTGGCGAGCGAGCATAGCGAGCAAGCAAAAAAAAATTCTCTTTTAATAGAAATGAATAAATAAAATAGTTTTTATTGGTGCAGGTCAGAATGGACACAATCGTGTTTAACGCGATTCAATTCCTTTTTGGCGAGAGGGCGTAAAAACTCTTCCATTTTTAATGATATTGTTGCAGGTCAAGGGTGGGCACAATTGTTTCCAAAGAAATATCTATTCATTTTATTCGCGAGCAAGTGTAGCGAGCGAGAAAAATGAATTACTCTCTTTTAGTAACATTTGGTACATACACTGTGTGTTATTGTTGCCATGGTTGCAGGTAGGGGCCCGTCGGGGCAGGCACAATTGTATTCTAGGCAATGCTAATCCTTTTCTTTTTTCAGGGGGACGAGCAAGTGAAAACATTTAATACAAAATAGGCTAGCAAGCAGTTCGCGCCAGCGAAGAGTTTCGAATTTGTTATATCACTTATATTTTCCTATTTTCATTTGTCTAAATTTTTCAGGGCCGTATGCGGAATATTTTTCTGGTGGGGGAGGGGGAAAGATGCGTTAAAAGTTTTCGAAGAATCTCAAAAGCAAAAGGAGTGAAGGGAGTTCGAGCGACCGAACTGGTCATGAGGGTACTTTTGCATTTTCAAAAGTAGAATTGAAGGATTTGGTATAGGCCTACACTACATTTTCAGGAAAAAAACTGTACGTTTTCAAAATATCTGGGGTCAACTGCCCCCCCCCCCCCTGGTGCGTACGGCCATGGTCTTTTTTTTTTTTAATTTCCCCATTTTTTTCCTTTCCTTTTCTTTTCCCTTTTTCTTCCTTTTCTCTTCTTCTTCCTTTTTTCTTTCCTTTTCCTTTTTTTCCTTTTTTCTCTTTCTTTCCTTTTTTTCTTCCCTTTTCTTTTTTTCTTTTTCTTTCCTTTCCTTTTTTTCTTTTCTTTCCCCTTTTTCTTTTTTTTCCCCTGGAGCCCGTCAGGGGGGGGGGGGGCACTCTGCCCCCCCCTGCCCCCCCCCCCCATAGGTACGCCAGTGGTTTGAATGAATGAATGAATCCCACTATGCCATTAATGTCCTTTGGCAAGACATTGAACCACATTTGCCACTCTCCACCCATGTGTAAATAGATACCTGGCAATTGCTGGGCCTGCCTGAAGAGCAGACGTAATGTAGCTATACCCTTGGTATAAATCTCACCATGTGGCTACTGAATTTCCTCATTTTTAAAGGCTTAATACAAGACCCGCCCAGTTCCGGTAGGCAGTACGCTTGGGTCAATAAGAGATGGCTTGGCAATTGGGTTCAAAGCAAATGAAATTGACTGTCATAGTTGAACCATATTGGTTGAAGATTTGTGAAAGCATAATAGTGAAAAGTCTGAAAGCTGTTGATGCTGGATACACTTGTGCATGTTACAGTCTCGATAAATTTTTAACAGGCCAGCAGTAATTTTTGCCTTTGAGTCAATACACAATTCAAGTTGGCCTAACCAGGGTACGTGAATATGTGCACTGTGTTATAAAAATAATATTTTAAAATATCCAATATTATTACGGTATCTTGATTATATTTCAAAGTTGACCAGAAATGGTTGTCTCATTAATATGACTGCTATTCTTAGGTTAAATTGCATAGATTCTTTTTTCGGTACAATATATTTACCAATTCTTGTTGGCCTGGCATGAGTTAAAGTTCACAGTTGACTGGAAATTCTTGCCTGACATATCTGCTATTCTGCAGGATCATTACCGGGTATGTAAAACAGCCTGCG